GTATATATATATATATATATATGTGTGTGTGTGTGTGTGTGTATATATATATATATATATATATATATATATATATAAATATATTTATATAAATAATGTTTATATATATATATATATTATCCCTCCCACTAGCATGACTCTGAATTTCATACAGAAAGTTTGCATTGTGCATGAATCACAGTTGTTCTGTCAGTGGCAGAATATATTTATTTATCAATATATACTTAACTGATCTATTATATTACAACTTTTGTTAATGCAAGCACTATATGTGCAGAATATATCATAACATCATATATATATATATATATATATATATATATATATATATATATATATATATACCGCTGAGGATGACCTTCAAAGCCAAATGGTAGACAAAATATGGATGTCGTCTGTGATTGGCTGTGCGAAATGTGGGAATATTAAAGTAAGTGATTTCTGGTAGTGGAATTTTTATACGTCATATACAGCAGACGTGGTTATTTCGCGTCTCGGGGAACTTGCTCACCACTCAGGTGTGAAGACCTCCATGACTAGTTAAAATGTATACGTCGACATATTGACTAAAACACACACACACGCATATATATATATATATAATTGGAAATATAGCCATTTAAATACAGAACACCCTGAATGAATAATGAGTGGCATCCTAAATCTTCAGAGTCGAGGATACAACAACTAAAAAAATTTGATATTTACATTTAATTAAATTTATATATATATATATATATATATATATATATATATATATATATATATATATAAAATAAATAAAAAAAAGAATAGTAAGATATGTAATCCGGTGTTCTTATTGGTATTTTTACTTTTTACAAAATAGTGCTCAACGTAAATTTACAGAGCATTAATATTATAAATTAACTGATTTAAAATATGTTTTTTCGCTACACAGTAATAACCATGTTTCAAAAATGGAATCTAAAAGCTTTAAATTTAATTTTGTAATTAAAATAAAAACTTCTCTGTATCCTTGGTAACCGTAAATTATGATTTTTCCTTGCAGTTAAATCACCGTAATCTTAAAAGTTACTCCAAAATTCGCTTGACGATGAAATAGAAGAAATGTTTTCATTTTAATTACAAAATTAAATTTAAAGCATTTAGCTTCCATTTTTGAAACATAGTTATTACTGTGTAGCGAAAAAACATTTTAAATCAGTTAATTTATAATATATATAGAAATTATGAGCAGGATTTGGTAATTATATTTAATTAATTTATCGAATCTGACAGAAACCTCAACAGAATGCAGGAAGCACTGGACGACCGTTTCGGCCTATATTTGGGACTCATCAGCAGTGCGCATCCGCTACCGAGAATTGAACCCCGACAGTTAGGTTGTCAAGCAAACATCATACCAACTGTTCAATGGACCTCGGTGATAATTTAAATTAAAGTTGTCCGTATGTGTTCTTTAAATTAACGTCCGAAACGTTGTGATAAATATGGCGACAAAGATGAGGACAATAGTCCGAATAATATAATATATATATATATATATATATATATATATATATATATATATATATATATTTTTAAAAATATGATTCTAGCACGCTACATAAGAGTTCTCATGTTTCAAAACAAGAGCCGTTTGAAATATGAGAACTATAATGTAGCGTGTTGAAATCATATTTTAAATAAATAATTATATTTATGTTCTACTTTTTGTATCGAGCATTATTTTTAAAAAATAATAACAAAAAATACTAAAGAACTTTGGATTATTTACCTAACGAGTTCTTTCCTATTTTCTATATTTTTCACACACACACACACACACACACACACATATATATATATATATATATATATATATTTCGTTAAATAATTTAGACATGTTATGTCTACTTATTCTCGAAAGGATCCTTTGATATTGGCGGATAAACTTTTTTGTGCGGTTATTAAAAGACGAGAGGAAAATACCGTATTAAATCCTATTGTACTTATTTCCGAGTACTTTCGGCATAGCATAATGTCAGCATCAGCCTATTGTTAATTATAGTGTAAGCATCTAGTGTTCATGGCCGTGAAGGACAAAAATTGTTTTGGTCATCCAAAAATTACCATTTTTATATGTGGAGTCAGGAACACTGTATCATGGCTTGGGTGACGGATACTGTTTCAGGGGAGGTAACTAGGTATGTTGTGTCAAAATTGAGTAGTTGCTAGATAAAGGAAAATCTATTATGACAAACGCTAACATTTAAACACTACTTATTGTACACATTTTCAAATGTTTGTGGAGTATTCGTAATTAATTTCATTGAGATTTGGTTTCAGTTTTTTGTCATAAATAGGTTCGAAAATTTTTCGTTTGTGATTATTCTTTCCATGAAAATGTATTGAGATGTTTTTGATGAGGATTTTTTATGAATTGGGAGTGTGGACAGGTACGTTGTTGCAAATGTTTGAAACATACTAGCAGTAGAGCCCGGCGTTGCCCGGGGATGTAACAATAAGAGATAGATCAAGTATCGACCATCATAAAGACTGAAAAATAAAATTGATTATTGTCTAAGGTTGACGGACACGCATGTCTTAATTTGTTTTTTTATTTTTTTTTTTTTTTTTTTTTTACAAATTGGTCAAACCCAAACTCGAATTTTTGGAATTTGAATGATAGTGAAATTTCTTTGTCCAACAAATTTAAAATGTCTGATGTTTATCGCAGTTGCATTCACAGTTGAATTCGCGGGCTTTAATTTGATTGGTTAAAAATATTTAATAGTGGTATATTTTGTCAATGAAAAATATTTACTCGAATTGAGTTTGAATCCGAAAGAGCAATTTCAGAAATTTCTAGAATATATATATTGATATTCCAGACGATTTATTGTTTTCAATCGTTATGAGTCTACCGATTGAATAGAATTTTATTATAAACAATTTTCTTGTAAATGGAATTTTTAAAGCATTCTGAATGTAAAAATAAAGGAAAAAGTGTGCAAGACAATAAGAAACACTACCTGCCAAAAAAAAGTGAAGTTTTGTTGAAATCGGTTGAAAAATGTAGGAAATTCGATCCCATATATAAACGAACACACACACACACACACACACACACACACACACAAACAACCTGGGTTTTATAATAAGTATAACTCATTCGATATGAGTTGTCCCCCTTTCATTCTCGCGATGCCTCTTAATCGTGTTTTCAAATTGATTTCGTGTAAAAACAATTGTGTTTTTCCAAGTTTTGGCACTATCAGAACCACTGCAAGGTAATTTTATGTCGTCCTTCGAAGTTTTGTTGAAATCGGTTGAAAAATGTAGGAAATCCGATCCAATATATAAACGTACAGACACACACAACCTGCGTTTTCTAATAAGTATGATATATATATATATATATATATATATATATATATATATATATATATATATACTCCATATAGAACCCATCAACATGTAAGTAAATTAACTATTTCTCTGATTCCTAGGTGTGGTTATGAATGAATGCACAATAAGAAATTAACAATAATAATAATGTACCTTAATTATAACAATGTACCTTAATAAAAGTTATGTGACAGATAGACGATTGTTTTCAGTAAAATAACACCTTTTTTATTACGACGAAAATACCATTTTAAAGGATTCCTGCAGATTTCTAATATCTGATGTTTATAGTAAGTGGACCTTACACTATTTACATTATTCGGACTATTGTCCTCACGTTTGTTGCCAAATTTATTACAACGTTTCGGTCGTTGTCCGCTCCGGCCTTCTTCAGGTAGTTGGAATGTCGAACTGAACCCTTTATTTCGCTCACTCCACGTGCCATGTTTCAGTGATCTGTTAATTCCCCTCTTATCCACTGCCTTAACCAGCTATTGAACTCACACTCTTAGGTTTCTGTCACTGAATCTAACCAACACTTTTATCCACTGTGCAATTTCTCCTTGAGGATATATGTTTATGAATTTCTGAGTATTAAAAACATAATGTGTCAGCAGCCATTTTTACCAGAGCTCATACTGCAATTTTTGTTGTTATTATTGCTTTTCTCTGGCACTCCTTATTACTGGTTCCCATATTGTATTCATTTTTATGCTTGGTCGGCCCAGGAGATTTTTGTGGCCTAGCATATGTGCTGATTCCTTAAGTTTACGAATTTTCCAATGGTGTTCTTTGTCTATGATCTCAACCCGATCCCACTGAGGGCGGTTATCTTCCTTTTCTCTCCATATGTGGTCAGCTATGCCTGATTTTCCCACTTCCCCTCGTGTTACAGCTTTCTGGTGTACTTGAAGCCTAATAAATATCGCGACAAAGATGAGGACAATAGTCCGAATAATGTAAATAGTGTACATAATACCTCATCTCAGAAATATATATATATATATATATATATATATATATATATATATATACCTTGAATTACGAAATTCTGTAGGTCATTTTGAATTGTTTATGGCAATATAATTCCGTCTGTCTGCGTTAAATCGATTAATATTTGTAAATCTTTCTATTAGAATTATTATTGAAAGAAAAATAAGTTCCTCAAGGCCACTAATTGTTATCGATCTTTTCATTATACGTGGGTTTTACCTTCTGAAACTTTTGCTCGAGGTAGTGTATAAGGTCCACAATTTGACTATATCACTAATTTCTATTCCCATTTCAAGTACTGTCCATTTTTATTTACACATTTCTGATTGGTATCATATTACGTTCATTGTTTGTGGCTCTAGCACTAAGCAAGTTATTGCAAGTCATTGATCGAGGCGAATTTTTGTTTGCATTCGCTGGCTTTAATTTGATTGGTTGAAAATATTTAATAGTGGTATGTTTTATCAATGAAAAATAATTACTCGGATTGAGTTTGAATCCGAACGAGCAATTTTAGAAATTTCTAGAATATATATATTGATAATCCAGACGATTTTATTCTTTTTTTACAGATCCACATTTGAGACCAGATTTAGGCAAGTATATTATAGCATTTCTTTTTTCTATTGCGATAGAAAATTATTCTGTCTTTATTTTCTTTTTCTTTCTTTTTTTTCATTCATTTTCTTTCTTTTTTTCTTTCTTCTTTCTTTCTTATTTTCTTTCTATTTGTTTGGGTCTCTTTCTTTCTTTCTTTCTCTCTTACTTTTTTCATTCTTTCTTTCAAATGTGAATGATAATACAAGTCGATTTTTCATCTGGATATATTCGACTTTCATTGAACTTTTTTTCCTTTTTCATTCATTCATTCTTTCTTTCTTTCATTTTTTCTTTCATTCATTCATTCATTCGTTCTTTCTTTCTTTATTTATTTCATTCATTATTTCTATTTTCTTGGGTCTCTTTTTTTCATAAGATAAGTAATAAACGGATGAGCCAAATAACGAAATTGTTTGTTCCTTGCTCTCAATAAAAAATAATTTCGCTGGAAAGTTTGTTTTTCTTTTTGTTTTTTTTTAAAAAAAAACGAATTTGAATGATAGTGAAATTTCTTTGTCTAACAGATTTAAAATGTCTGATGTTTATCGCAGTTGCATTCACGGGCTTTAATTTGATTGGTTAAAAATATTTAATAGTGGTAAGTTTTGTCAATGAAAAATAATTACTCGAATTGAGTTTGAATCCAAAACTTGTGTAAAGTTTTTGACATCATATGGAAACAAATATTTATGTATTTTTACCCGAGACATTAACAAGGGCATTGTTTCTTTTTTAAAAACGACGTTCACTTATTTGAATTATTGTGCTTCATGTTGATTGGTTGAAATTAATAGATTTCAATTTTATTAAAGTGCCAATGGAAAATGTTTCCACTGGAATTGCGATTGAATTTAAAATTGAAAATTATGACTTTTCCATAATACTTCAATATAAATTTAGATAGGAGATTATTCTTTACTTTTTCTTTTTGCATTTTCTTTTTTTTTTCTCTCCTTTTCATTCTGTTTTTCCCCCTTCATTCATTCTTTCTTTTCTGGGTCACTTTCTTTCTTTCTATGTATAATTCCCTCTTTCTTTCTTTCTTTCTTTCTTCCTTTCTTTCTTTCTTTCTTTCTTTCTTTCTTTCTCTTTAATTTCATAGTCAATTTTGTTCTTTTGTTCGCAGCTGATCTCAGACCCCAATATTTAAGCAAGTATAGTAAATCTTTTAAAACAAAACTTAGGTTGAAATCCCCTATGAAATGATTGTAAATCGGTCTTTTTCTTGATTCCTGAAAAGTTTTCCGTAAGTGGTCCTTGAATTAAACAATTTTGCAGGTGTCTTTCAAATCTTTAGATAGTTTTATCAATCCCTGACCCGTACGTAGGAAGGACTTCCGGAAGCAACCCATGAGTAAGCAGTAGCCATCTTGAATCAATATTAAAAAGAAAATCTGATGATAATATTAAGGACATGAATTAAATAGGAAACAATATTTGACAATATTTAACAAATATTAATACAGAATTCTCCTGCTTCTAAACTTGAGAATGAGTTGTTTTTTTTTACATTAACCAATAAATTTAATTTCAAAATTATTACATTCTTTGTGAGACTCAGTTATTTTCTAAAAATAATTTAAATTTTTCCTTTGTTTTCGTTGCAGTCGGAAATTCAGGAGTCGGTAAGTAAAAGAAAATCTTTTCCTTCCTTTTTTCCTTCCTTCCTTCCTTCCTTCCTTCTTTCTTTCATTTTCTTACTGTTGCTCTTTAATTTTATAACTAATTTTATTCTTTTAGGACACAGTTGATCACAGGCACCAACATTTAAGCAAATAAACTAAAGAATTTAAAACAACAACAAAAAAAACTTTTGTAAGGATTGTAAATCAGTCTTTTTCTTGATTCCTCTTACTTGTAACGTAAGTTACCCTTACATTATGCAATTTTGCAGGTGAAATTCAAATCTTTAGATAATTTTCTTAATCTCTAGTCCGAACATAGTACGGACATTCGACGCAACTCATCAGTAACCCATTTTGAGCCACTATTAAAAAGAATCTTTTGTGAAAATCTGATATTAATAGTAAGGGCATGAATTAAATAGAAAACAACATTTGACAGAATAGATCAACAAGTATTAATACAGAATTCTCCTACTTCTAAAATGGACGGCCCGTTTTTACATTATGCAATAAATTGCCTTTCAAAATGACGACATTCTTTGTGAGTTTCAGTTACTTTCTAAAAATAATTTAACTGCAATTGTGTTTGGATAAAAACACCGAATTTCGTCTCATCCAGAACATGTATATATACATGAAAATTCTATTTTTATTTAATTTTATTTTTAAAAATTTTCCTTCTTTTTCGTTGTAGCCGGAAGTCGAGGTGTCGGTAAGTAAAAGATCATCTTTTCCCGCCTTCTTTCTTTCTTTCTTTTCTTTCTTTCTTTCTTTCTTTCTTTCTTTCCTTCTGTCTGTCTGTCTTTCTTTCTTTTTCTTTCTGTCGTTCTTTAATTTTATAGTTAATTTTCTTCTTTTAGTATGCAGTTCATCACAGACACAGAGTAAACTAAAAACATTTAATAAAAAAAAAAACATTTGTAAGGATTGTAAATTTTTCTTGATTCCCCTAACGTTTCACGTAAGTTACCCTTACATTACGCAATTTTAGATAATTTTCTCAGTCCCTGGTCCGAACCCAGTACGGAACTTCGATGCAACCCATCAGTAAGCAGTAGCCATTTTGTGCCAGTATTAAAAGGAATCATTTCTTAAAATCTGATAATAATACTAAGGGCATGAATCGATAAAAATACAGAATTCTCCTACTTCTAAAATGGACGGCCCGTTTTTACATTATGCAATTACATTATTAACAGGGGCATTTAAAAAAATTGATCTGAAACCTCTGCTATTTATTTTATATTTTTCTTATTGTGTTATGTATTGTGTAATTTTCTTATGTTTTGAAAATTTTAACTTTCACTGACGGTGACGTCGTTCTCTTATTTGAATTATCATGCTTCATTTTGATTGGTTGAAATTAATATACTTCAATTTCATTAAAATGCCAATGAAAAATAATGACTTTTCCACAATATTTAAATATAAATTGAGATAGGAGATTATACTTTCTCTATTTTTCTTTTTTTCATTTTCTTTCTTTTTTCTCTCGTTTTCTTTCTTTTTTCCTTCATTCATTCTTTTTTTTCTGGATGAATTTGTTTCTTTCTTTACATCTTTCTCTTTTACTTTCTATCTATAATTCTGTCTTTCTTTATTTATTTTCTTTCTTTCTTTTGTTTTAAGTTTTTTCTTTTAAATTTATAGTTAATTTTGTTCTCTTACTACGCAGCTGATCTTAGACACCAATATTTAAACAAGTGTACTAAATCTTTTAAAACAAAACTTAGGTCGAAATCCCATTTGAAAGCTTTGTAAATCAGTCTTTTTTTTTTTTTGATTCCTCAAAAGTCCTCCGTAAGTGGTCTTTAAATTAAGCAATTTTGCAGGGTTCATTCAAAATGACTACATTCTTTGTGAGTTTCAGTTACTTTCTAAAAATAATTTAACTGGAATTGTGTTTGGATAAAAACTTCGAATTTCGTCTCATCCAGAATATGTATATAGAAATATGAAAATTCTATTTTTATTTAATTTTATTTTCAAAATTTTTCCTTCTTTTTTGTTGCAGGCGGAAGTCCAGGAGACAGTAAGTAAAAGAATTTTTTTTTGTTTTACGCAAAAAGAATGATTTTTATAATGATCGCAAATTTTTCCTTGTCTAGCAGATTTCAAATATCTTTTCTTTATCTTCGGTTTTACTAAAATGTTCATGGCAATATAAGGTATTTACTTATGTGGAAATATTCCACATTTATTTTCGGACCACTGCTACTTAAAGTTAATATTTATAAAGTCTTCCTATTAAAAAAAAATTAATGAAAAATATGTCTCGCAAGTCAGCTTATTGTTTTCAGTCTTTCCATTATTCATGTGTCTTTCCTTCATTAAAGTTTCGCTCGACGCAGTGTTGAAGGACAACACGTTGGTTATATCATTAATTTCTCTTTCACTTACATGTGACGTATATTTTTATTTACACATTTCTGATTGGCATTGTAGAGGAGAGGTGTAATTTAGAAACACATTCTGTTTATTCCTGCTAGAAGATGATGGCGGACTCAAGTTGAGTCCAACCGAAGATATAAAGAAAACAAACAAGACCGATATATATATATATATATATGTATGTGTGTGTGTGTGTGTGTGTGTGTGTGTGTGTGTGTGTGTGTCCACAAATATATGTATTAAACAACAAATTTACAAGTGACGAAGGTATTAACATTTGTTTTTGTGTGTGAATATAAAGAGTTTGTATTTTGGTGAATGTTCGTACGCACGTGTATGTGTATTTAATGGCTATTTTCCCAAAAGTGGGAAAAAACACGGATCTCTGCGAAAGATCACATTTTTAATTGTGTCCGCTGAAATGCAAAGTGAAAAAGACAACGAGGCAAGAAATAGCCCAGTATTTTAATTGTAGGGAGAGCGCCCCCTATTGAGCAATTAGCGATTTAAGGTGGAGGTAACTCTGACAGTATCATATTACGTTCTTTGTATGTGGCTCTAGCATTAAGCAAGATATTACAGGCGAACTTTTGTTTGGTTTTGTGGGTTTTAATTGGATTGGTTGAAAATAATTAATTGCACCCTGCATTAAGCGATAATCCCTCCTCCCGAACAAATTGAGACGAATTTTTGGTAGATATATTGGGCTTTTTTTTTTGATTGCTTGAAAATAATATATCTTCGTTTGGTTCATCTTTCAATTAAAAAAATATTCTCTGTGGGATTGGAGTTGAATTCAAAACAGCTGTTGTTATATTTTCAGGAATATTTATATAAATAAATATTCAAAAAAGCTCATTTTTTTTTTCTTTTTACAGGTGGTCGGTTCGATCTAGCGACAGGCAAGTATACTAAAGATTTTGTCTCAAAGTTTTATTATTATATGGAAACAAATGTTTATATATTGTTACCAGAGACATTAACAGGGGCATTTTAAAAAATTGATCTGAAACCTCTGCTATTTATTTTATATTTTTCTTATTGTGTTATGTATTGTGTATTTTTCTTATGTTTTGAAAATTTTAACTTTCACTGAAAGTGTGACGTTAACAGGGCATTTTGATTGGTTGAAATTAAATATTGATTTCATTAAAATGCCAATGAAAAATAATGAAAAATAATGCTTTTCCATTTTTAAATTAAATTGAGATATTTTTTCTCTATTTTTTCTTTTTCATTTTCTTTTTTTTTTTCTTGTTTTCTTTCTTTTCCTTCATTCATTCTTTTTTTTTTTCTGGATGAATTTGTTTCTTTCTTTTTACATCTTTCTTTTTCTTTTCTATCTATAATTTTAACTTTCTTTCTTTATTTTCTTTCTTTCTTTTGTTTTAAGTTTTTCTTTTAAATTTATAGTTAATTTTGTTCTCTTACTACGACGATCTTTCAATATTTAAACAAGTGTACTAAATCTTTTTAAACAAAACTTAGGTCGAAATCCCTATTTGAAAGCTTTGTAAGTCATTATTTTTTTGATTCCTCAAAAGTCCTCCGTAAGTGGTCCTTAAATTAAGCAATTTTGCAGGGTTCATTCAAATTTTATTTTAAGTTCCTGACACGAATGAAAAACATCCGACGAATTATTAGTAAGCTTTTTCCAGTATTAAAAAAAATCATTTTATGAAAATTTGGTATAAAATTAAATAGAAATAATATTTGATTAATATACAATTTTTTTTTTGGAGGCTGATTTTTATTTTACATTATGCAAGAAACTGCATTTTAAAATTACTACATTCTTTAGGAGTTTCAGTTATTTCTAAAATAACTGGAATTTGATTTGAATTAAAAAACAACAAATTTTGTCTCATCTTTCTTCGTATATGGAAAATGCTATATTAATTTAATTTTATTTTATAAATTATTCCTAAATTTCATTTGTTGTCGGAAATCCAGGACACGGTATAAAGAACATTTTTTTTGTTTTTAACGGAAACATTTTGTATTAAAATTTTGACAATCATATACCGAATATTCCAATGCTATTCTTTATTGATAAAGTTTTTTTAAAGATCTTCCCATTATTCACTTTCCTCCCTAAATTTTCACTGTGAATCTCTCTCCCGGCTTTTTAGATTCAAAAAGTCAATCTTCAAAATTAAAATTTTCTCTTAAACTCGTGGTTGTCGATGGCATCTTGGCTATAATTACTCTTCTGAATTATCTAGTTTTTTTTCAATGCCTTTTGTCTTTTTGACATCATATAGACCAATGCTATGCTTAGAGTTTTTTTCTTCCGCACTTCCCGCATGTGGAACTCTCTCCCGGCTTTTTGATTCAAAATCAATCTTCAAAATGTTAAATGCAATGTCGACCTGTTATCTAGTTTTTTCAATGCCTCTTCGCATAAATTTTATGTCTCCTTCATAGTGTTTTGATTTTCTTTCTAATATATCAATAAACCCTCACGTCATAGTGGGTTTATTGCCTTGCTTTGGGTGAAATTATTAAAAAAATACTTCGTATATTAATCAATTTTCCCGCCCAACGAACTAATCGAGATGAATTTTTGGTTGATATATCGGATTTTAATTTGATTGGTTGAAAATAATAAATCTCCAGTTGATTCAGCTTTCAATTAAAAATAATCTCACTGGCAATGGCGTTTAATTCAAAACAGCGCTTGTTTTATTTCCAGGGATATCTATATAAATTGATATTCAAGAATGTTCAATTTCTTTTTTCTTTTTTTTTTTGCAGATGCTCAATTCAGTCTAGCGAGCGGCAAGTATAATAATGCTTTTGTCTAAATATTTTGACATCATATGGAAACAAATATTTATATCTTGTTACCCGAAACATTAACTGGGACATTTTTTTAATTTTAATCAAATAATGTTCTGAAGCATCTGTTATTTGTTGTATTTTGTCCTGATATTGAGCAAACTTGTCTTTCGTTAACGGAAATGACATTCTCTTTTTTGAATTATCGCGCTTTATGTTGATTGGTTGAAGTTTATAAACTTCAATTTCATTAAAATGCCAATGAAAAATCTTTCCACTGGAATTGTGATTGAATTCTAAATAACAATTTCTTACTTTTCCATAATATATAAATATAAATTGCGATAGAAAACTATTCTTTCTTTTTCTTTTTCCTGGCTTTACCTTTGTTTTTTCTTTTTTCCTTGGATTTCTTTCTTTCTTTTTTTCTTTCTGTACTTTTTCTTTCTTTCTTTCTTTCTTTCTTTCTTTCTTTCTTTCTTTTTCATTCGATTTTGGGGGTATATTTCTTTCTGTACTTTTTCTTTCTTTCCTTCTTTCTTTCATTCGATTTTGGGGGTATATTTCTGTACTTTTTCTTTCTTTCTTTCTTTCTTTCTTTCTTTCTTAATTCTTTCTTTTTTTCTTATTTTCATTCGATTTTGGGGGTATATTTCTTTCTGTACTTTTTCTTTCTTTCTTTCTTTCTTATTTTCGTTCGAGTTTGAGGTGTATATTAAAGTATAAATTGCAATAGAAAAATTTTTATTCTTTCTTTTACTTTTTGCTTTCTTTTTCATTTTAGCTTTTATTTTTATTTTTCTTTCCTAATTTACCTTTTTCTTTCGTTTATTCTTTCCCTTTTCATTCGTTCTTTCTTTTTTTTTCCTCATTTTTCTATATTTTTATGGGTATCTCTCTATCCTTTTCGTTCTCACTTTCTCTCTTTCTTTCTTTCTTTAGATCTTTAATTTTGTAGCTAATTTTGTACTTTTTGTTTGCAGTTGCTCCCAGACATCAAGGTTTAACTGAATGTACCAATACTTTTAAAACAAAACTTAGGTCGGAATCCCATTTGAAAGAATTGAAAATCATTCTTTTTCCTGGTTCCTCAAGCATTTACATTAAGTGGTCCTTAAATTATGCAACTGTGCAATTGACATTCAAATCTTTAGATAATTTTATCACTCCTTGACCCTAAGTCGGACGGACCTTTGACGCAACCCATCAGGAAGTAGAACCCATTTTGAGCCAGTATTAAAAAGAATCATTTGTGAAAATCTGATAATAATCGAATTAAATAGGAAACAATATTTGACAGCAAATGTTAACAAGTATTAATGTACAATTCTCCTATTTCTAAAATGGAGAATCCGTTTTCTATTTTACATTAAGCAATAAACTGCCTTTCAAAATTACAATATTCTTTATGAGTTTCAGTTATTTTCTAAAGATAATTTGACTGGAATTAGGTTTGAATAAAAAAAAAAAACACCGAATTTTGTCTCATCCAGAACATCTATGTATATGAAAATTCTATTTGTATTTAATTTTATTTTAAAATTTTTTTCTTTCTTTTCAGTTGCAGTTGCAAATCCAGGAGGCGGTAAGTAAAAGAACATTTTTTTTTTATTTTAACGGAAAAAGCCAAATTTAAATGATCGCAAATTTTTCTTTATCGTGCAGATTTCAAATATCTTATCTTTATCTTCGGTTGTACTAAAATGTTTATAGTAATATAAGGTATTTACTTACGTGGAAATACTTGACATTCATTTTCGGAGCAGTCACTGCAACTTTTGGTTAATATTTATAAGGTCTTCCTATTAAGAAGATTTTTAACGAAAAATAGGCCTCTCAAGTCCGCTTACTGTTACAGATCTTACCATTATTCATGGGTCTTTGCTTCCTAAATTTTCGTTCGAGGTGGTGCAGATAATGAACATCTTCGTTATATCACTAATTTCTCTTCAAGTTAAAAGTACTGTTCATTTTTATTTATACATTTCTGATTGATATCAGTTGAATAAAAAAAAAATATTTGGTTTGAATAAAAAAAAAAAAAACACCGAATTTTGTCTCAACCAGAACATCTCCATATATGAAAATTCTATTTTTATTTAACTATATTTTTAAAAAAAATTTCTTTTTTTCCGTTGCAGGCGGAAATCGAGGCGGTGGTAAGTAAAAGAACATTTTTTTTTTGTTTTACGGAAAAAGCACGAATTTAAATGATTGCAAATCTTTCTTTATCCAGACGATTTCAATATTTATATCTTCGGTTGTATTAAAATAAATAATCCGTACATTAATCAATTGCTTTTTATTCTTTATTTTTCTATGTTTTCCCTTTTTTGTTCTTCCGTTCTTTCTTTATTTCTTTCCGTTGTTCTTTGACTTTATAGTTAAATTTGTTATTTTAGTACGCAGTTGATCTCAGACACCAATATTTCAGCAAGTATACTAAATCTTTTAAATCAAAACATAGGTCCAAATCTCATTTGAAAGGATTTTAAATCAGTCTTTTTCTTGATTTCTCAAAAGTTTTCTGTATGTGATCCTTAAACTAAGCAATTTTGAAGGGTTCATTCAAATCTTTAGATAATTTTATCAGTCCCTGACCCGAACGTAATAGGAACTTCCGACTCAACACATCAGTAAGCAGTACCCATCTTGATCCAGTATTAAAAAGAATCATTTGTGAATATCTGATAATAACAATAATAACGGTATGAATTAAATAGAAAACGATATTTGGCAGTATAGGTCAACATGTATTAATATACAATTCCCCTGATTCGAAACTAGAGAATCCGTCTTCCATTTTACATTATGCAATAAACTGCTTTTTAAAATTACTACATTTTTTGTGAGTTTCAGTTATTTTCTAAAAATAATTTAACTTGAATTGTGTTTGAATAAAAAAAAACACCGAATTTTGTTTCATCAAGAACATCTACATATATGAAAATTCTATTTTTATTTAATTTTATTTTATTCTTTCTTTTCAGCTGCATTTTCATTACTCGGTAAGTTAAAAAAAATATTACAAAAAAAAAAAAAAAGGTAAAAAAAATATGATGGTAATTTTTCTTTGTCCAGCAGATTTCAAGTATCTTATCATTATTTTCGATTGTGCCAAAATATTTATGGCAATATAAGCCGTTTCCTTATGTGGAAATATTCGACATTCATTTTCCGAGCAATCACTGTTATATTCGGTTAATGTTTATAAAATCTTCCTATTAAATTATTAAAAAAATTAAATCTCTAAATCCACAAATTTTCATCGATCTTTCCATTATTCATAGAGATTCCATTCCTGAACTTTTGCTCGATTTAGTGTTGAAGGTCAACATCTTGGCTATATCTCTAATTTCTCTTCCAGTATCAAATGCTGTTCATTTTTATTTACACATTTCTGATTGCTATTATATTATGTTCATTGTATATGACACTAGCATTAAGCAAGTTATAAAAAGTCACCGATCGAGGCGAATTTTTGTTTTGTTTCGCGGGCTTGAATTTGATTGATTGAAAATAATTAATCGCTGTTTGTTTTTTAAATTAAAAATAATTACTTGAAATTAGACTAAATACGAAAGCACAATTTTGGAACTTTCCAAAACATCTTTATATATATATATATATATATATATATATATATATATATATATATATATAATTATTTATTCGAAAACTATAACATAAATACGTTATAAAATCACTACAAAATTAGCCATTTTGTTTCAACATTTCTGGAGTCTTATCAAGTGATGTTTAATGTAGAATATACTGCATTCAACATCATCACTGGATAAGACACCAGAAATGTTGAAACAAAATGGCTATTTTTGTAGTGATTTTATAACTTATTTATGTTATAATTTTCGAATGAATAATTATATTTGCTCTACTCTGTATTGAACACTCTTTTAAGAATAATATTTGTAGGTTATTGGAATTTATTTCGTATACACCAATCCTATACTTGTATATATATATATATATATATATATATATATATATATATATATATATATATATGTATAGGATGATGTGTGTGTGTGTGTCTAACGAATGCACGACCGCAATTTTCGACGCCAAAATTTACATGCACATGCTCCAAGTTAGTGGGAAGGCCAAGACTGACTTTGCATTTCTCAATTCCCATCGATAGTGGAAATAATAGATTTTTCATGCTTCTACGGCAGTTTTCATGTAGTTTTCGTCCATTTTCTACTGGCCAAAGTGAGAGCCTATAGCTGGCAACCACGAATAGGCAGGAAGATTCTATTGGCCAGCGTGAGTGCCAACTGCTGACTGACACAAATGTTAACTAGCATGCTAGCACGCAAAAACATCGATAGCTGCATTCGTCACAAGTGGGAAAAATTTAAATCTGCATGGCACTTTACTCCAATTGGCTCATTCGCTTGCTTAAACTCAACGTTGATTCTGATTCCGCAAAACTGGGTTGGGTGTGAAAAAATATTTGTTTTTAACATTCTTTTTTCATTCGGTTTTTCCAGTTATGAGTCCTTTTTTAAAGCTGAGCGTTTATTTCCACTCTCGAGGGGAGTTAAGAAACGCAAAGTCGGTCTTGTCCTTCCCGCTAACCTGGAGCATGTGCATGTAAATTTTGGTGCGTCGAAAATTGCGGCCGTGCATTCGTTACACACACACACACACACACACACATCCTGCCTTTTATAGATAGAGATCAATTCCTCATGCAGAAAATTATCGACTCAACCACCTTCTTAAGTTGAACATTAACACTTCGGCTGGATGAATTTAATAGTATTAGATTGACAGTTATGTCCCATGATATTAAAGTTGAAATATCTAGATATAACCGTATGTTCTATGCTGATAGTTTCTTCTTGATCACTCCCTCATGTGGAACTCTCTTTCAGCTTTTTGCTTGTAAGTCAATCTATAAAATTTTAAATGCAATGTCGATCGTTATATTTGTCTTCTTAATGCCTACTCACATATTTTTCCCTCTCCTTAATAATTTATTAATTCTTTCGTCTATTACTTTGCATTCAGTAAATCCTTCCGTCTTAGTGACTTTATTACCTTTCTTGGTATGAAATGATTAAAGAAACACTTCGTACATTAAGCAATTTTCCCGCTCTCCAAACAAACTGAGACGAATGTTCGATTAATTTATTCAGCTTTAATTTGATTGGTTGAAAATAATGAACTTCCGTTTTCAATGAACTGTAATCTCAATGTCAATAGTATTCAATTCAAAACAGCAATTTTTACCTTTTCATGAATATTTATATAAATTCATATTCAAGAAAGTTCAATTTCTTCTTTTCTTTGCAGATCTTCTATCCAATCATTCTACAGGCAAGTATAAAAAAGTTTTTGTATAAAACATTTGACATCATATGGAAAGAAATATTTATATATTATTACCTGCGACATTAACTGGATATTGGTTTTATATTTTTCCTTAAATAATGATCTAAAAAAAGATAAGCTTCTCTAATTATCTTTTTTGAATTATCGTGCTTCATTTTGATTGGTTGACTTAAGACGCAACCCATCATTAAGTAGAACCCATTTTGAGTCAGTATTAAAAAGAAAATCTGATAATAATCGTAAGGGCATGAATTAAGTAGAAAACATGACGCCATTTCTAACCTTAGGTCCCTGAAAGAAATCAAAGAAAATAATAATAATAATAATAATAATAATAATAATGCATAGGTCAAGAAGTATTAATATATTTTTATTCTAATTCTGCTTTTTTTTCTGGGACTCTTCCTTTCTTTTGTCCTTGATAACTGTTTTGCTTTCTTTCTTTCTTTCTTTCTTTCTTTCTTTCTTTCTTTCTTTTTTCACCCCTATTTCTTCTTTATTTCTTTCTTTTACCCCTATTTCTTCTTTCTTTTGTGCTTTAATAGATATTCAAGAATCTTCAATTTCATTTTGTTCTTCTTTCAGTTGCTTATTACCGCCCTTCAGAGAACGGCAAGTATTATAAAAATTTTCTCTAAAGATTTTTACATCATATGGAATTAAATTTTTATATATTGTTACGCAAGACATTAACAGGGGCATTGTTGTTTATTTTTAATTATAGAATGTTCTGAAACATCTGTTATTTATTGTATATTGTTCTTATGTCATTTACTGTGTATTATCCTTATACTGAATAATTTTGACATTCGCTGACAGACACAACGTTCTCTTTTTTGAATTATCGTGCTTCATTTTGATTGGTTGACATTAATATACTTCAATTTCATTAAAATGTCAATGAAAAATATTTCCAATGGAATTGTGACTAAATTCAAAATAACACCTGTGGACTTTACTATAATGTTTAAATATAAATTGCGATAGGAGACTATGCTTTCCTCTTTCCCTCAATCTGTCCTTTGAGTATCAGATTTTCCAAGCCTTCCTTCCTCATTACATGCCCCTGAAATTTTTGAAATTTTCAGAATATATTTATATATTGATATTCTAGATAATTTGTATTTATTTATTTTTTCACAGATCTACATTTGGAAACAGATTTAGGCAAGTATATTATAGCATTTTTTTTTTTAGTTTGTGCAAATATCTGAATAAAAAGAAGTGTGAATTTTTATTTCTTGCTGATCTCAAATACCCGTCTTTTTATCTTCTGGTATTCTTTAATTACGATATTTTGGAGATGGCATCCAAATTCTTTGATCATTTCGACAGTGTTTGATCCGATCGTCGCACACATATTCTTCGAAAACGTCTACTTTTTTATGCAACATTACTCTTCAAGACGTAGGTGATCATGGCCCTCCACATCTTCATGTCCTTTGTAGAACGATACGTCTTTCTGTTATTTCTCCCAAACCTTGTTCTACCATACATTTACTAGAGTTCATCAAGAATCTTTCGCGCTGCTTTCCTCTTTCCCTCAATACGTCCTTTGAGTATCAGATTACATGCCCCTGAAATTTTCAGAATATATTTATATATTGATATTCTAGATAATTTGTATTTATTTATTTACAGATGCACATTTAGGACCAGATTTAGGCAAGTATATTATAGCATTTCTTTTCAGTTTGTGCAAATATCTGAATAAAAAGAAGCGTAAATTTTTCTTTCTTGTTGATCTCAAATACCCGTTTTTATCTTTGGGGATTCTTTAATATTAAGATTTTATAATCTTTTGATATTTTGGAGATGGCATCCAAATTCTTTGATGATTTCGACGGTGTTTGATCCGATCGTCGCACACATATTCTTCGAAAACGTCTACTTTTTTATGCGACATGACTCTTCAAGACGTAGGTGATTATGGCCCTCCGCATCTTCATGTCCCTTGTAGAACGTTACGTCCGACAGTAATGAACAATCCCCAAAGCCTACTAAATCCTACTAAACTTATAGTAGGCAGAAGAGTCCAAAATAAACTCTTTAGAGGTAGGACAGCACAACACTTTTAATACTCTGCTTATTTTTTGGAATATAGTTTTGTCCATCTCAATTCTTTCTTTTTTATGTGCCATGTTCTTTCTTTAAACGTTTCCATGTCTTACAGATTTCAAATATCTGTTGTTTATATTCGGTAGTCCTTCATGTATGATATTTTAGAAAGGATATCCAAATCCATGGATCAATGCTTCAATCGAGCGTCGTACGCACCTTCGCCGCAACCCTCACAACTTGAATAACAACAACTTCACATTTTTTTGCGTGAAAGAATAGTTTTGACATCTAAAATATTAATATACAAATATGGCAGTTGTAAATAAGGTTTTTGGTTTTCTGTTTTTCATAAGATTATCAACTGATATCCCAAATTACTAAGCTGTTTGTTTCAGATCCTTAATTAAAAAAATAATTTCGCTAGAACATTTTATTACAACAAAAACGCGAATTTATATGATAGGAAATTTTTCTTTGTCCGACAGATTTCAAATATCTCATCTTTATCGTAGTTGGCCTTTAAATTACGACATTTTGGAGGTGATTTTCGAATGTTTTTGACAATATAAGATATTTTTCTTTCTTTCTTTTTCATTCCTGTTTGATTCTTCCTTTCTTTCTTTCTTTCTTTCTTTCTTTCTTTCTTTCTAATGTGTATGGCAATATAAGCCGTATCCTCACCTGAACATATAAGACTTTCATTCACTTTTAATATTAAAAAAGAAATAAAAGAATTCAAATTATAATATGTCATCTGCTTTCCTTTAAAATCCCTATCTCTTTTTCACACACTCTTTCTACCATTCTGTCTCTCTCTCTCTCTCTACTCAGATATCTGCCCTCAAAGAAAAACGTGAGAGAAGAAGCAAAAACTGAACAACTACTGCAAAACGGAAGTTCGCTGATCAATGATTTAGTTATTGTGACAAGAAATTTACCAAAATTAGAGTGGCTCTTGACATAATTCCCACCCCATAAAATAAAGAGAGCCACGACGGAAAATAAGTAAAATAACTTTCTTTTCTTTTTTATATGCCATGTCCTTTCAGGACGTAGGCGATCATGGCTCTCCACCTCCCTAATTTTGGTTAATAAAAACAACTAAGATATTTTTTTATGTTAGTGTGGACCAGGCTTTGCACCAAGTATTCTGGAACCTTTCTTAAGTGTATATGAAGAGAGAGCCGACAGACAGCAAGAGAGCTGAATCAGCCAGCGAAACCAGCCAAGCGTGTCGCATGGAAAAAAAACTAAGCGGTGAACTGCTTAAAACATTTTTCCGCCTTTTGTAAAAGGCTAGAAATCACAGCATTTCGATTACGCAATATGGTTCCAAAGTAACCTGACTTCTATCAAAATATTTCACGTAATGTAACAATTATACCCAGCCGTACGAACTTTCGCCAACCCGATTTACAAAGCACTCGCCACAATCGAAGTCAATTAAGTAAACACATGATTGTTAATATCTTTGATTCTTTTCATTTATTTCGAAGTTTCCTATGGATATAACTGAAGAATGTTGGTTATATTACTAATTCATCTTCGAGTTACAAGTACTGTTCATTTTTATTTACACATTTCTGATTGGTATCATATTACGTTCATTGTATGTGGCTCTAGTTTTAAGCAAGTAATTGCAGGTCAAGTCAATGATCAAGGCGAATTTTTGTTTGCATTCGCTGGCTTTAATTTAATTGGTTGAAAATATTTAATAGTGGTATGTTTTATCAATGAAAAATAATTACTCGAATTGAGTTTGAATCCGAAAGAGCAATTTTAGAAATTTCTAGAATATATATATATATATATATATATATATTCCAGATGATTTTATTTTATTTTATTTTTTTTTTTTGCAGATCCATATTTGAGACCAGATTTAGGCTAGTTTTATAGCATTTCTTTTCAGTTTGGACAAATATCTGAATAAAAACAAGCGTAAATTTTTCTGTCTAACTGAAAGAAAAATAAGTTTCGCAAGGCCATTAACTGTTATCAATCTTTCCATTATTCATGGCACTTTCGCTCGTGGTAGAGTCGATGACCGGCATCTTGGCTACATAACTAATTTCTGTTCCAGTTACAAGTAATGTCCATTTTTATTTACACATTTTTGATTAGTTTCATATTATGTTCATTGTATGTGGCTCTAGTTTTAAGCAAGTTATTGCAGGTCATTGATGGAGGGAAATTTTTGATTGGTTTTGTGGGATTTCTAAAAATGAACTAAATTAAAATTTCTAACTGGAATTTGGTTTGAATAAAAAACCCTCTATTACCTAAACTAACTACATGGCAGGATGCGACACAAGGCCAATTTTTAACGTGTGGCCTTCCGAGTCCATAGACTCGGAAAAAATTGATTATAGACCTCTTATACACGTCGTCAGATTTGTGTACCTCCCCAGACGAGACTCTGCCCTTTGGCATAGCCTCGTCTGGGTTCCTCTCCGCCCGGAGACAGAGAGTTCGACAAAAGAAATCTCCAAAACCTGAGGAGGTCGATAACAAACACACAGACAGATACTACGACTTTATATATATATAGATGCCATGTCTCTTCTCGAGATAATCATGATTATCCAAAAATTCCGTTTTCTGTAATTTTTCTATTAATAACTAACCATTCTTGTGCAAAAAGCAGAAATTGTTTCCGTTGCTTTCTCCAGAATTTGAAATTCACAGTTTTTCTTCTCTGAGGTTGGTTGCCACCGAAGGCTCGAGAACTCAATATCCTGTTATTTAGCTCATAATTGCTCTGCGAAGAGAAATATTAATGGAAATGTATATAACAAAATAAAAATATCATTGAATTTTTTTACAGATTTGGTGCCACATTTGAACGAAACTCCCGGTAAGAATTTTTTTTCCGTTTATTTTTATTTTTACCCAATGAAATGTACACAATGAGTCTCAGAGGGCAAGCAGTAGCAGAGACTTGACTGAGCGCGTCAAAGTCGCGATTCAGGAAGGCTCCCTGCTCCCTGGCCGGCGGTATTTACTTAACTCTCACGGGGTCAAGATGTGACACAAGGTCGTTTTTCGTGGGAAACCCGAGCGTTTCCGCATAGGGTCACTGGTCAAAGATTGGTCATAACATGTCCAAGCTGGTCAAAGCTTGTCTTAGCAGGTCCTGATATGGTCCAAACTAGACTTTGCCATGGTCGCAACCTAGCCCGAAGGCCGGTCTTGCGGCGTGGCGGGCTAAAAACCGCTGCGAAGTCTCGGGGATCTAGATATGACGTTTCATACAAGAGAAGTGGTGACGCTAAACAAGTAAATGAATATAATTAATTTCGGGCCGTATAAATTACAGTCAAAAGTGTGTTTGGTGTTTGTTGACTGTATTTAAATTAATTTCGGTTCAAAATTAGAGGTCTTTTATTTTTGTTTAGTGGCGAAAATTGAGTTTTGTGTGTTTCTGTCAGTTTGAAAGGATGTCGTTGCTATTTTTAGCACACAAGGGTCGTGACCTTTCTCTACCGGCAGGCATATCCAGGGTTGTTTACGAAAAGGTGGGAGTGGTGATTGGACACACTGCGACAAGGCCCTCTCCCAGGATAATTGATCATTATCAATTAGAAGTAAATATATGTCTTCTACTTCTTAGGGAAGGTGACTTTCCTTCCAAGGGGGGTCTGCCTGGTTGGAGTGGTGGGTGGTGCTTCACGGATTGGCTCTGACCTCGGTTGTGACGGTTGCGATTGCGTGATGGTTGAGGCTTATAGGTGTATTGAGACGGGTTCTGTCTCCCGTAGAGATTTTTCCAGAAAAGCTGGTTTGACTCTGTCGATAGAGATGGTGTCTGTCCAGCTTCCTCGATCAATGGTGAGATGCTTCTCAGAGCGTTTTAAAACTTGAATGGACCCTGGTATGTTGGTGTTAGTGGTTTCTTTACCGCGTCATTTCGGACAAAAATGAACTCGCAGTCCTGAAGCTGTTGTGGAACGTGGATAGTTGGTGATGATTGCCTGGGTGGTGCATACTCCAGTTGGGCCATTTTATGGCGAAGTTCCTGAGTGAAAGGACTTGCAGTAGTGAGGTTGGGTATGGTGTCATCGAAATATTGGCCGGGTAAAGAGAGTGCTGTACCGAAAACTATTTCGGCTGGAGTGCATTCTAAGTCTTCTTTGAGTGTGTTGCGGATTGACAAAAGGATTAAGGGTAGCTCGTCTACCCAGTTGCTGGTGGGATGTTTTGTAGTTAGAGAGGCCTTTAGTGTTCGGTGGAACCTTTCCACAAGGCCGTTGGCACAGGGATGGTAGGCGGTGGTCTTGATGTGTTTGACGCCGAGCAGTTGAATGAATTCCTGAAAGAGTGAGGACTGGAACTGCGCGCCGCGGTCTGTGGTGATGATGCTGGGTACGCCAAAAATTAAGATCCACTCCTGAAGGATGGTCTTTGCTACCGTGCTAGATGAGGTATCTCTGATGGGTACTGCTACTGGCCACCTGGAGAAACGGTCAACTACTGTGAGGAGGTACTGATAATTCTGGCACATTGAGAGAGGTCCCACTATGTCGATGTGGATGTGGCTGAAACGTGCGTCAGGGTTGCTGAATGTGCCTGGCGGGGATTTTGTGTGCCGGTGTACCTTGCATTTCTGGCACTTAAGGCACGTTGATACCCAATTACGGATGTTAGTATTCATGTTGGGCCACGCAAAACGATCGGCAATGAGTTTGACCGTAGCGCGCTTGCTGGGATGTGACAATCCATGTAGGTGTTTGAAAATTTGCCTTCTGAGTGCCGGAGGTATGTAGGGTCTGGGGTAATCCAGTTTTGTATCGCAGTAAAATATTTTGTTGCTGAAAGGTGCCGGAAATTCTTTCAGTTGCAGAGATGTGTTGGCTAGGACTTCAGGGAGGGTTGAAGTGGGCTGTCTTCCATTGTGTTGACATCAAATCTGGATAGGGCATAGGCGACAGAGTTGTCTTTTCCTTTGACATAACGAATATCGGACGTGAACTGTGAGATATAGTCCAGATGCCTGATCTCGCGAGCCGTATATTTGTCCGAGTTGTTCGACAGGGAAGTTGTCAAGGGTTTGTAGTCGGTCAAAACGGTGAAATTCCGGCCTTCAAGTAGATGTTGGAAGTGTTTGATGGCGAGGTATATAGCCAAAAGTTCTTTCGAGAAGGTGCTGCATCTGGACTGGGCTGGTGATAATTTAGCCGAGAAGAATGCGATGGGTTTGCGTTGGTCATGAAACTCCTGTTCTAACACCGCTCCAACTCCAGTGTCTGAGGCATCTGTTGTTAGATATGTCTGATTCCGGGTGTCTTCGTTGAGATGTGCTAACTTCGTAAAGTTAGCTAAAAAGTTTTTGCTGCTTGGAATGATTCTTCCTGATCGCCCTCCAGGGTGATGGCTTTGTTTTTTCTCTGGAGAAGATTTGTCAGTGGGGTGAGGAGTTTTGAGCATCCGGGGATAAACCTGCGGTAAAAATTTACCATCCCCAAGAAGCGTCGCAGTTGCTTTATCTATGTGGGCATCGGGAAATCCTGTATGGCTCTTATCTTATCAGGGAGTGGGGTGATTCCCTGGGCGTCTTTGTGGTGTCCGAGGAAGTCTATGTGTTGTGCGCCGAATTCGCACTTGTCTGGGTTGATTCTGAGGCTGTAATGTGTTAGACGGCGGAACACTTCCTCCAGGTGTTGTTTGTGGAGATCAGCGTCTCTGCTAGCCACTAGGATGTCATCGATGTATGCGTAGACGTATGGTAGGCCACGCAGAACTTCGTCCATCAGCCTCTGGAACGTCTGAGCTGCGTTGCGCAGTCCGAAGAGCATTTTTAGGGATTCAAACAGTCCAAAAGGGCTTGTGACTGCTGTCTTTGGGATGTCCTCTGGAGCAACTGGAACTTGGTAGAGTAGGCTTTGGTCAGGTCGATTTTTGAGAAAATGCGGACCCCTGTAAACCTGAGGCAAAGTCGTGGATATGCGGAACAGGATACCGGTCGGGTACTGTGGATGCATTGAGTTTCCGGTAATCCACGCAGATCTTGAAATCCCCGTCGGATTTGGGTACCAGATGCAGTGGTGAAGCATATGGCTGTCTGAGGTTGGGATGTCTTGTGGTAAGGGAGACCAGCAAGTGAATTGGATAAGCTAACAGTAAAGTCTCTATAATAAAATACGTCGAGGTTAGCTAAAGGGAACTATGGCCTTAAAATGTCTAGCAGTATATTACAACTAGGTTTGTAATATAACTTAACTAAAAAGGGAACTTGCTAGTCTCTTCCACGGATTAACAGTGTATAGGGAGCATAAACGAGAGGTCAAGGTCGAAATGACCTGTTCTCTTAATTTAAGGCGCGAAGGAGGAGGTAACTCCGACAATATTTATTTAGATTTTTTTTTATTGAATCTGCAAAATTCTTTTCTTTTTTTTCTTTTTAGCTGTTGTTGTCACGCCTTATGGTTGTGACCAGATGCTATGTGTGTCTCAAGACATGGTTTGCACGAATGTTACCAAACTGTTATTATTGAGAGATAGACGAGCAGGTAGGTATTACCCTTACTATCATTGTACATCTGTAGAGAGCCCCTGTCTCAGAACACTCTAAAAAATTACCAGAGGTGGCCTTAAGCTTTTGAACTGTAATGCCTTATAGATACCGGATATAACAGCAAAAATTGCCCAAATCGTGGGACAGCAAAATTGCCCAGATGATAGATTAAGCTTTTAACGGTTGTATCTTAGAAATGATGAAAACATCTTACTGGGATTCTCCGATCTTTTTATAAAACTATTGGACTCTACTTTAAAAGATAAAATGTATTTAGCTCTAAGTTGAAATGATGATCCATCTTCCTGTTGTGATTTCCTCATCCAGTTTTTCTCTCTATTTTCCCCTATTTTTAAACTTACTCACCGTTTTCGTGATGGTTCTTGAATGAACTTTGAAGCCAGAGTATTTTTCCTCGCACCATTGCTCAGCTGGGAAGACATACTAGGGATGACACAAAACGATTTGTTGTAATGGAATGTTCCAGTCTCCCTATCGTGAACTGACTATATCTGTAATATATGTAGTGTGTACCGGACACTGGATTCGGGAAGTGCTAATCGACTCCCTGTCTTTCAGTAGTGTATTCTCTTTTACAATAAACTTCTTTTTCTTTTATCTACGCTTGTGTTGATGTTCCTTTTACTCGAGTACCAACTTTGTCTGTAACCTTTTTAAGTACACAACACAATTTTAACTTGTTCTATTTCTAGTTGAATAACTCAAAGAGTTTTTCAGTAATTATTACGATAAATCGTGTCAAGATGGCTACACACCTTAGCTGAAGACCTAGTTTATTTTTTTAATAGATAGTAAACATTTTGAAGGATGGACAATTATCGCATGCTTTTATGCGATTTGGACAATTTTGCTGTTACACACGAGGTGTGCGTACATATATATATATATATATATATATATATATATATATATATATATATATATACAAACAGACTGTTTTGCTGTATCAAAGCTCATCAGTGTGACCAGACATGCGTTTGCTTCAAGCTAGAATCGAAACCCGATCGATTTTCCATCAGTCGGAGACTCTCGCCTTAGGCCATCACGCAGCGGAGTAGGCGAATTTTTAACACCTTATATACGAGATATAAGTATTACCGTCTACCAGAGGGCTCAATTAATAGTGAAGAGCTTATATACATATATATACATATATATATATATATATATATATATATATATATATATATATATATATATATATATATATATATATATATATATATATATATATATATATATATATATATATATATATATATATATATATATATATATATATATATATATGTGTGTGTGTGTGTGTGTACAATGTCGACAACTTGTTTCATGCTCGAACGCAATCTTCATCTCATGTGTATTGGATGGCTATGGGTGTTAGTTGTACACCTGTATTTTTGTGTCAACTGAGAGATTGTCATTGTCACAAATTCTACCTGTGATTTTTAAGTAAATGCTTTGAAACAGTCGCTTGAAAAATCGTTAGTACAGACCGGAATTATCCATGTGTTTTTGACCAATCGTTGAATCTTCTTGGTATGTGACAATAGCATAGCGTGACCCAATAGGCAATTCCTCATCCAAAAATTAGACATGCTGCTTAAACTTACATTGCAATTTCTGCAAGTTGCATCCATTTTTTTATCTAATTATTTTCTTTTTTCAGACGTAGAAATTTACAGTTATCCTTTGGAAAACGACAATTGTATGAGAGATTTCAAGAAAATCACTATTCAAACAAAAAGAAAGCATATTGAAGTGACACCTTCTGTTGCCATAATTAACGGAAAAAGGATTAAGATGACAAATCGATCATTGACTCGCCTGAAATTTAAGAATTTCCTTAAGCTCAATGTCTTTTTCAATCGAGAAAGAACACAACCTACTGTCTCAGTTCAATTCATTGTCTTGGACGAAATGCGTCAAGCTGCGGGTTTATATAGTAAGTATCAATTTTTTGCAATTTATTTATTACTAGCAGTAGAGCCCGGCGTTGCCTTGGGATGTAACAGTAAGAGATAAATCAAGTATCGACCATCATAAAGACTGAAAAATAAAATTGATAAAGATTATTGTTTAAGGTTGACGGACACGCATATCTTAATTAGTTTTTTGGGTTTTTTTTTTTTTTTACTAATTGGTCAAACCCAAACTCAAACAAAAACATTGTTTTCAATCATTATGAGTCTACCGATTGAATAGAATTTTATTATAAACAATTGTCTTGTAAATGGAATTATTAAAGCATTCTGAATGTAAAAATAAAGAAAAAAGTGTGCAAGACAATAAGAAACACTTACGTGCCAAAAAAAGTGAAGTTTTGTTGAAATCGGTTGAAAAATGTAGGAAATCCGATCCTATATATAAACGAACACAGAAACACACAAAAACAACCTGGGTTTTATAATAAGTATAACTCGATATGAGTTGTCCCCCTTTCATTCTCGCCTCTTAATCCTGTTTTCAAATTGATTTCGTGCAAAAACAATTGTGTTTTTCCAATTTTTGGCGCTGTCAGAACGACCGCAAGGTAATTTTACACAGTCCTGTGAAGTTTTGTTGAAATCTGTTGAAAAATGTAGGAAATGTTGTCAAAATGTATCCTTTTTGAAGTTGGCCGATTGATTTGTTTTTTTACGGTTTATCAAACCATTGTGGGTTAATGAAAACCTAACATATTTTAGATTGTAAGAGCAATTATTCTTGCGACTGATTATTGCATTAACAATCATTTGAGAATAACAATGATAAACGTTCGACTATTTAACTCATATCTGTCGGGGCAGAAGAATTCCAACCGAAACACAAGACTAGAAAGGCATTTAAGACAACGAAAGAGGCATATTTTACACAGGTACAAGTTCAACCTTCCATTATAATCAAAACATATTTTGATTTCATTCTTAAAGACATCTAATCTCTTGGCATTTACTGTCGAATGAAGGAGAGCATTCAACTTCTCTATCCGACGTGAAAAAGAATATTTTCATATCTTAAGTTTTGAATGAATATCCACTGGAAACATGTCATTAATTGAATTTACTATTCTTAATACCTCTATTAAATCAAGACCTTGACGTATATTTTCAACTGAGAAAAGACTTAAGTTCAAAGCCATATTTTTAATTTCAGAACTCATTTTGGTAAAGCATTTTGCACTTTTTCTAGCTGCTGTATATCACACTGAATGGCCGACTCTCAAATAAAGGAATATAGACTAAAATAGAATGGACTAGTGAGGAATAAAACTTCAGAAGGATATTTGTCGTATAGAAAGATTTCTTTTTATTTTCTCTATTACGCTGTAAATGAGGATCTTCGATAAAAGTCATATGTGATAGGGAGGTGCCAATTCTTTTCAGTAAAGACAAGATAACCATCTGATCTGCGTAAAACCTTTGTTGATCAAGTTGAAATATCAACATCCTGAAGTTCTTTGGTTCTTCTATGATGACATTAAAATGATTATGTCCAGAAGGTCAACGGAAGTTATCATCATCTACTAACATAATCGATATGTATTTTGGTTTGCTTTTTAAAGAGCCTTGGAATTGACAATCAAAAAAACAAAAAAAAAAACAAAAAAAAATACCTCTTACTATGAAAATGAATATTTTCGTATGTTCATAACCTAAGATAGCGTTTCAAATTAACCAATGTCCTCAATTGAGTCGACTGTTCTTAATATCTGTATTAAACGTCTAAAACCTCCAGTTTCAAGTGTGAAAAGTACTGGATTTTTATGTCGATCGTGTGATGTATAATTTGAATTTCAGGATTCATTTTGGTCAAGCATTTTTGCACTTTTTATACCTGTTGATTTGCAGACTAGAATTCCAGTCTAATCCATTACAGTCACTTACGTGCTAATACCCTTGAAAAATGTATGAATCTTCGTCTTCTCCCCCCACGGCTATAGGTAAATAGCAGGACAGACCGGGTTCTATAGCCTTTGATGGCAACTGGTGTACTGCAGAAAGAAATGGCAACCTACTGCGGGAAAAAATCTTTTTCGGATTTTGAAGACAAAAAATGGCTACTGTGTCCCTCGGGATATGGGATAGTAAGATAACGTGATCGGGATATTTATTCAATAAAGGATATTTACCTGTTTCTTTTTTTCTGATTTCGAAGACACTTAGGATATGGTGCAGTAAGATGAGGTGGTAGGAGCAGTAATAATGATAATAAAAAAAGAATCTTCACAATATGGCACGAATTAAAGATTGACCTATTTTACAGACTTGTTACTTTTTTTCTTGATTTCGAAGACACAATATGGCCGCCGATCTACGCCTCAGGATACGGGGCAGTCAAATAATGTGGTCGGAACATTAATTTTAATGAATATTCACAATATGCTAGGAATTAAAGATTGACCTATTTAACAGACATGTTCCTTTTTCCGATTTCAAAGACACAATATAGCAACACTGTCCTTCGGGATATGGTATTCCAAGATAAGTTGTTGATAGGAGTATTTTTTGATGAAGCATATTCGCAATATATTACATGAAAATGGTTGGCCTATTTTACACACTTTTTAGTTTTTGTATCGTATAATTGAACTACTAATCTTTTCTGTAAACACATTTTAAAATAATATTTTTAATTTTTTATAGGTCAATACATGAAACGTTTCGACTGCAATCTTCAGCCAAATGGAGAATTGACTTTAAGTCACATGACACGGAAGTTCACGAATGTCTCTATTACGTCACCGATAGAAGACGGTATCGACAGCTGTTACATGTAACGAGCGTGTAACAAAAATATCACTTCGTATTAGTCAGCTTCCAGATTTTAAGAAGAGTGAAACAATTTTAATGATCTGTAAAATGCCATATATATATATATATATTTAAAATTAACCGCTGTTCAATAAATTGATCCTCTAGGCGAGACATTATTCAATGTAGGGGTGCTTATTCAAGATTATTCAAAAATCACTCGTATATAAAGCAGTCAGAACTCTTATCTTTAAAAATTTGTAATGTTTTTATCTTTAAGAAATAGTTAAATCGAAACAATATGTTTTTAACGTAGCCAATAATAAGGTCACAGGTAAAAAAAAAGTCACAATTAATTTATGGAGTCTAGTAATAAAGGAATATATTTTTGTAGTTCATGGCTCTGCTCTATGTCTAACAGACATTCATAGTAAATCGATCCAAACTATTAAAAAATGTTTTCTAAAAATGCTACGATAACATATTCAATATATTTCATAGATAGGGGTCCTAGTATCCCATAAACGCGACATTATTTGAAGAAAGCATTAAGAAGGGTGTTTTTAAAGATTTGCGCCAAAAAGAATCATATTCAAAGTTATGGTATGAATGAAAGTTTGTCCTATTTTACAGAACTATTCCTTTTTCGGATTTCGAAAACAAAATATGGCTACAATGTCTCAGGATATGGGGCAGTAAAATAAGATGGCAGGAGCATTTCTTCGACAAAAAATATTTACAATACGGCTTGAATGAAAGATTGGCCTATTTTACAGACGTTCCTTGGCCTGCTTCTTTTTCTAAATTCGAAGACACAATATGGCCACTCTGTATTTCCGGATATGGAATTGTAAGATAATAGAGTAGAAGTGAATGATTGATCTATTTTACAGACACGTTGATTTTTTTATGTTGTGTAATTTGTCCACTTTTATGTGCGCATCAGAAATTCATAGTAAATCGATCCAAACTATAAAAAACATTTTCTAACAATGCTACGGTCTCATATTTCATAATCATGGAGCCCTAGTATCTTACGCGACTTTATTTGAAGAAAGCCTTAACAAGGGTGTGTTTTAAAGTTTGTGCCAAAACGTAAAGAAATCACGGAGACCATTTACGAAGATAGATTGGCTCTTAAAAATCGTTTTCTAACAATTCTACGGTCTCATATTCGATATTATTCATAGTTAGGGTACCCCAGTATCCCATAAGATCTAACTTCATGTGAAGGGAGTCTCAATTTAAAATTTTCATTAAATTTTTTAATTTAATTTTTGAAACTGGCATTTTGTTCACTTTTAGATAAGAGGTTGGTATTTTTTTCCTGTGACTTTTTTATACCTAGATTTATTTTTACACAAGAACGGACAAAACATTTTTCACCATGATGTATACGTCTCTCGAAATACTTATTTTGACGGCTACAATATACAACGTGTTCAAGAAAACATATATTAGGAAACCATACGTTTTAATTAATAAAGCTTCTTTTATTTACTACTGTTGTTATTATTGTTCTTTTTGTCTATGTACAATATTCCTTCAGAAGGTGCACACATATATCGTTTTATAATCAGCATATATACAGTGACGGAGAGCCGAGTTCGAATTCCAGTCGAATCCATTACATTCACTTAAGTGCTAATACTCTTGGGAAAAAAGGTATGGATCCTCTTCTTCTCCAGCTAACTATGGATAAATACCAGGACAGACCGGGTTCTATAGCCTTAGATGGCAACTGGTTTACCGTATAAGAAAATGGCAACGTACTGCTGGGAAAAATCTGCCTCGTCCGTCATGTATCGAAAGATCGCCTAAGCGTGTATCACGCATGGCACATAACTAGCTGAGTACAGTGGGGGGAAACAAGTATTCGTACACATAGAAATTTTTAATTTATTACATTTCCAACTAATGAATAAACATAGTTTACATATAATTAACTCTACAAAAATGCATAACTAAATATGCGTAGAAAACAGAAAAAAATTGATTCAATAGAAATAAATCCCATGTATCCATTTTAATGAGTTTAGAAAATATTCGCACTATGTAACTTTCAGATTTTAAAACATTTGAATTGCTTTAATACTCAAGATAATTCAAGTGGAATATTATAAAATGTACCAATAATGTTATCAGTAGTCATTTTTCGCCCAACTTTTAGCCTAACTATACAAACAGAACATTTCTGTAATTGATATATATATATATTAAATGAACATTATGTAATCTTTTTTGTATTGTACAAATAATTTTTTCATCAATTAAAATGGATAAATGGGATATATTTCTATTAAAACAATTTTCCTGTTTTCCAGGCATATTTAGCTATTATGCTTTTGTGTACAGTTAATTATGAGTGACAGAACTAATTTCAACTCAGAACTAATTTCACATCAGAATTAATTACAACTCGGAACTAACTTCAACTCGGAACTAATTTCAACTCGGAACTGATTTCAACTCGATTTAAAATCAAAGTTATCAATTTCCGTGAATCCCTAGACAAAATGCCATGAGTTGGTGTTAATTTTTTAATTTATCATTAAAAATCCTTGGTAGATAAGATAATTCAGAATTCATATTTTCTGCAACTTTCATTCATTTTTGGTGCAAATGAATAAAGTGGTACTTTTATTTATTTAAATCTGATCCAATAAAAATGCAATGTTCTTTGTTGAAAAGTAGAAGAAAAAAACTCAAATGAAAAAGGCAACACATTTTAAAAATATTGTTTCTTTTTAATGTATATTTGTTTGTTTTTGTTTTTTTTAATCAGTATAGTTCGTTGCTTCTGACCGGATCTTCTAGCCTCAGCGCATGCTCAGCAATACTTGGAAATTGGGAGTCTTGGACAACGCTTGCCTGAGTCGTATTCTCCGTGAATCTTTTGTAACTGACTGCCTGTAGCTGACGCCGCCGAACGAAACAAACGACACACAAACTGACTAACACAAAAGACATGACGCCCATGATGACAGCAATCATCACGCGGGTGGTAAGCTCTGCAAGTAAAACAAAAACGAAACAAAAAAAGAAACAGTATAAGTTTTTCAATGCACATCATACGATTTTTAGAATGAAGAATTAGCATTTTCATATTAATTTTCTATATGACGTGTTTAGTATTCACCAATATCTGAATTTTTATTATGGATTCAGGGTACGTGCCACTATTGCTTTCATTCCAATTCCAGATTATAATTTATTTTTGGAAAGGTTTATCTTGAGTCCCATTTCTTAAAATACTTGATAGAGGATGCTGATTTTCTGCTGAAGACCATTCTCATCCAAACTATGAACATCTATTAGCATAATTCCCTCACTCTTCATTGGTACAATGAACTTAAATTACATTAAGAAATGTGAATATATCGACTGACATGCAGTTTGAT